GCAACAGTGTTCCTTAAAGTCTTTATGTCCTTTGGATTTAAAGCTTATTGCCTTAGGAAATAAAGAAAGTGAGACGCCTCTTGGAAGAAGATTTCCTAAAAAGGAAATTTTCAAAAAATCAGCGGTGAACAGGTGAGAGTTTTTTTTTTTTATATTATATATTATAAATTTTTATAATTATCAAATTTATATTTTTTTATATTAACAATATTATTGAAAAATCCAGATAATCTTAATAATAAAAAAAGATCTAAAGTTTTTTTTTAAAAGAATTAAAAAATTAAATATATTTTATAATATTTTATTTAAATATATTTTAGCTTGTTATATTAAAAAAATAATTATTTATATTAAATAAACTTTTTTTTTTATCTTACTATATATATATATATATATTTTAAGTAGGTAAATATTATCTCTTTATTATCATAAAAATTTTAAAATAATTTTACATTGTAAAAGTGACAACATCTCTCACATGACCAATTGATCAGTGAGTTTAATACTAGCTTGCCTACAGAAACTATCTAAGCAATATGGAAAATAAATATTAAAACCAATGTATATCTTAAATAGTGTTGAGCAGTTATGAATATCTACTCAGGTTTATGTGTAAGACTATAAGAAGTTGAAAAATAAGAAAAAAAAAACATTAAACAAAAAAATAAGTACAACAACACTAATTGTGAAGCTATAGATACTTCGGATGAAGTGTGCCACGCTGGTAGTTTCATTTAACTGAAGTACTGTTGCACTTTCAGAAATGGCCAGACTATTATCCAAAGTGTACAATAGTATTGATGGTATATTTTTTTGATAGATGGTTAGTCATAGTGATAATATTGTTATTGTATTGATATGATTTGTGATTAGTTTGTTTATTGATGATGTAATTTTGTTTTGGTTGTTGTCGACATAAAAGATTTTGTTTACATTGATCAGGGTGTAATGTTTTGATTATACAGATTTGTTTGTTTAGAAAATTGATAGAATTTGATTGGTTGAGTTTGAAATGTTGATCAATTGACAGAAGTAAACTGATTGCGGTTTTTTGGTGAAAAATTTTTTAAGTGAGATTTTCGGATTTTTGATAATGCAGTAAAATATGCTAGGCAATAGTGAGAAGTAAATATTAAATATATTATTGATACTCCAAGTCAACAATATAAACAATTTTAATGTGAAGTTTGATTTTTTGAGATAAAAAGAAATCCTCCAAGCAGAAAGTGTTACTATATATATTTTTTATAATTTAGTAATAATAAATATATATATATAAATCAATTAATCAATTTTTTTTTAAAAAATATAATTTTATACTTTTTTTAAATTATTAAGATTAAAAAAATTTTTTTTTAGTTTTTTAATTTATTGTTAAATGAAATTAATATAATAATTCTAACAAATACAAAAAAAAAATTAAGGTTTTAATGGTTTATTTAAAAAAAGATTTCAAATATAATCTATTTTTAGAATTTCAATGAATTAATTTGTCAATATTATAAATAAACAAAGAAAAGTTATTTATTAATATTAATAAAATAGATATATTTTTAGAATTTGTTTATAAAAATAATTATTATTAATTATAATAAGAAAACTTAATAAAAAATACAAATTCTATACTATTTTTAATAACCAATTCAAAGTTTTCAAGATTTTATTTTCATTTATTAAAGAATTTAATAAATACAATAAAAAAAATTAAATGTTAATTTAATTTTTTCTAAGAAACAATAATAATTTAACCATATATATAATTTAATTTTATAAAAAATATAATTTTGAAAGTTTATTAACAATTATATTTTAATCAAAAATTTGTTAGAGCCCAGTTTTAATTTTATATTTTTTATTTATTAATATAACAAATAAACTCAATTACATTTATTTATTTAACAAAGACTTATATAATATATAATTACTTCACTTCTATAATAAAAAATTTTCTTAATATAATAATACTAAATGTTAAAAAACTAAAATGTTTTTTATTAAGCATTTGATAATTGAAAAAATCTTATATACTTAAAAGTATTTTTTAAACTTAACTTGCAACAGATATTAAATATATAAAGAAGAAAGGAAAAAAAAAAGGAAGAGAACTTCCTAAAAAAACATTTGGTTTTTATTTATTTATTTATTTATTATCATTATTATTTAGTATTTTATTTTTAAAACATTATATTGTACATAATATTTAATTAAATATTTAATGAATTATTTGTTTAAGAAAAAAGAACGAAATATATTTTTTTTTTGAGACATACTGTATTATAAATAATAAAAATTCCAAATGGTAAATAAAGAACATTTGGTGTCACTTCTAATCATTGATTTTTGAATAATAATTTTTCTTTCAAGTCTTTATAATAATAATAACTATCATTATTTATTTATTTACTTATTTATTTCTAACAAACAATGCAACGATTATATTTCTCAAAATTTTTTAGTTATTATGATGATAATAAAGACATTTTAATTATAATTAAAAAAACATTTATTGTTTTAAAAAAAACGGTTAAAACATTCGAAACTTCGGTTTTTACAATTAACTTGTAAGTGGAATGATTGTACTGTATATAAAAATACATTGATATCGTACGTACATTATTGTGTAAAAAATATTACCAAATTAATTTTTTTTAATAGGATTTTTTTACACAAAAATTTGATATAGGGGTAATTTGTTTTCAAATAATGTTCTTCAAAGAAAATGAAGAAGATTCTTGGTTTCACTATATATAGCAGATGATAATCAGACTTACCAGTTAGAGAGCATAGTACAGAGATCTTGTTTGGATGCTGTCATTCGATTACTAAAGTGGAATACAGCAAGACAATGCACCAATCCACCAAGTATAAAACTCGCTAAAAACTTAAAGTTGTAACTATGAGGTGTCATCGCAATCACCAGACCTTCGTCCAATCGAGGATATATTGAAGGGTCAAAATCAATTATGGAACCAAGCCATTACTGCGGTAAGAATTGGTAGACTATTCATTTTATAGAAAATTATTACTTAGTCGGTGCGTACATATATATTAGTTTGATCTACTATATTCGGCGCACAATTGAAACTAGGTTTTATTTATTTAGCTTGATTTATTCTAGAATTCCACAATTCGGCTGAATATCTAACCGGTTTGCATTAACATTAACTTAAAAATTCTGATAGAAAACCGGCATGGAAATCTATAATGGAATTTTATTGAACCAGTTAGACAGCACGAGAAAAATTAAATACATGGAGGTTGTATAAAATCAAAGGGAAGCTTTCTTTCTTTACCTTAACGCCTTATTATAGTTCCCTTATCCGGCATTTTCCAATTAGTGATTTTGGAAAAACGTACAATGAAGTCAACAATAGAAGTTCCACGGTTGGATACTGGTACTGATAATAACACTTTGGCGATCAATGATGAAGGTCATGAAAAAAATCCGAAAATAGAAAGATTCTCGGATATTATATCTTATAGTTCTCCTGATCGGGAGAATGGTTTGATTCCGAACAAACCATCACACAACTACAAAGAAAATTATGATCTAAAAAAAATCGATAAACTGAAAACCGATACTCCAGAAATTGTGATTTCTTATGCACCAAAAGAAGAGAATTCAGTCAGCAACTCTGCATACAAAACAGTGAGTATTTCACCATCAACATCTACAAGTGATATTAGCGCTGGTATGTTGTACGAGAAATTCGAATCCCCAACGTCAAGTTTTCAAACAGATATTTCCACGGTGAAGGGCGATCACATAAAGTTCGAAAGTGAATCGACGACTGTCTCTTTGTCAAACCCAGGAATAGATTATGACGATGACGATGATGATGATGATGAACAAAAAATAAAATTTCCAGCACGTCACCAAGATAGTAATGATGAAATACATGAAGAGAGAATTGAACCCAATGTCAATGTGAATACGGTGACGGATAAGGGAAAGGGCAAGGAAAGCGTGATAGATAAAGGAAATGAATTAATAGAACCTCTGGACGATAATAAGCTTGAAACTCAGGAAGTTTTCAACCTTGGTCCGGAACAATATAAGAAGATGAGAACATTCAATAATGACAAATTTAATTTTATTTTGTCTCGAAGAAATTTGATGGGAGTATTAAGTATCCTTTCAATCATTTTGGTCTTTGGTGGTAAGGTTTTTTATTTTGATTATGTTATGATACAGAAAAAAATTATTAATTTTAATACCTTTATGAAGGGGTGATTATTCTCTCGCGCAAAGTCAAGATGTGATAATGCACATAGTCATATACTTTACGTATGTCAACTTTGTACATAAGAGGAAAAAACATCGAAATCCAACGTATTCGAGGGTGTACAAAAAAAAAGAAAAAAATTATTGATGATTAATTAAGGATATATATATAAGTAATAAAACGTATTTGACGCCTCTGAATTAATAACCTGACCGGGTTGTATATTATAATGCACTCGCATTATGTAATCATGAACAAATTTCTTCTATTTTATTGATTTAAAACTCTAAGAATGATAGACGCCCAAAATGAATAATTCGTAATTTATGCTGCATTACTCTGCAGAATCCGGTATCATGAATTCAAGAAAAAAAAAATACATAAGATTAACCTTCCCTTCACCGATTAGGCTCTTAATTAGAACTTCTCTTCACGGCTGTCAGTGCGTAGTACGCGATTTGCTGCCATAAATCTTTCATGAAGGTAAAAAAAAGGGGAGGGGTTTTTTTTTAAAAAAAAAAAACATTTCAAAATACCTTGAAGAAAAGATATATATACTTACAGAGCACCGTGAGCTGTACCAAGACTTTGTATACATCTAACTTGATCGGATGTAACCTCGACGTTTTGTTCCATTGTCATCATGTTCTGCTGTAACCTTGCTAATTGATTATTCAGCGACATGTAAAGCCTTCGCTTTGCTAGAGAGTAAAAGAAGTGTGAAAAGATGATTCAATGATATATAGCCACGACAGTTCGAGTTACCTCCTGAAATACTTTGATTAAATTGCATCTCGCTACCTCGGTTCTCCATTCTCATAGGAAAGAAGGGAGACGCGTTTAAAAAGAAAGACGATCGGTTTTATTGTGTAGATCTGATTTACATAAAATATCCATATGTGGACGTGATCACGGTTTCTCTATTCAAAAATTTGCGTCACGCTCTCACGTTTTCCATTTTGGTGCGTAATAAATATTTGTTATCATTGTCATTTGACTAATGATTAAGATATGGAATTTTTATCTAACTTGTTGTGTCAAAGACAGTCAATCAATTATGGGGCCTATCGACTGTTATGTAGCGACTGACCTCTTCCTTCAATGTCAATTTGGAAATTGAAAATTTAAAGAGCTATTTCCCCAAAGAGTAAACCACTTTTCGGGACATTCACGTGCGATGAGATTAAATAGGGCTCGGCCGAAATTTCAAGTATTACAACTCATACCTCGTATTAAAAAGATCTGCCCGAAATGATTTTGATGCAAATCATATGGTTAGTCTTCTAAAAAAACTCCACTGGGAACACTTTATAAATATCATTCGGGGAATTTTCCTTAACGCTAATTCCAATTTTTCAATTTTTTTTTTTTTTCTTTATCACATTCACTCTTTTCTTTTCTTTTTTTTTTAATGATGACATGATAAAAATCTTCCCTTTTTTAAAAAAAAAACCTAATGATGAAGAATAATTTCTCTTAATTCATAAAACTAATGATAGACTAATTTAAATTCTTCTTAATTAACGTTTCTATCACAAGTTGATAGAGCACAGTTAATAAATAATTGATTTCTCCATGGTTCGATTAACAAATAATTTCGCGCTAGTCTGCGCAGAAGCGAGCAACAAGACATCAGCGGAGTGTGCATGTGACATTCGAATCAATTTACGAGGATGCTCCGAAGAAAAAGTCATTTACGCTGCAAGCATTGTACTTCTGCCATATTTAATTTTGATCTCTGCGATTTCCGTGGCATTCATATATGATCAAGTATATGTGAAACGACAATCGGTGCTATTCCCTTCAAGAGAGAGAGGCATAATAAGAACGAAGCCACAATTTTCATTTAACATTGCTGTGTGTGTATTTCATCTAGGTGAATGACTACGAGTTGCTTGAAACTTCTTTTAAATCTACTTTATCCGTACAATTGTAGCAATTAATTAACGATACGCATATATATACTACACACTTTCATTAGTGCAGGCGATATCCTTATTATTACTAATTCTGGATGCCTACCCGAATTCGATCTTTGCTGAACGTGAGTTTTTCTAATCGGTCGATGAAACGTTATCTCTATCAGTTTACAAATATCGTCTTCTTTTCATGACAGTTTTCGCTTACCTTTCACGTGAAGTTGGCTACGCACTTTCTGTGTTTTATCCAATTAGCATAGGTATGTTCCATTTGAAATTTTCTTTGTCGTATCATACACCATTCTGGTGATATATTTAATATAACGAGATATTTGATTCATATATTCACAGTCTACTCAACACCTACGGTGCATTCGTCATACACGATCCAATCTCAATGGAAGCCAAAGAAACAACATCTTGACATTTTTGCCATATGTCTAATGATCGGTCCATTTATCTCAAACATTCCTTTATCTTTACTTACTGGTTACTATGCCGATGCAAACGATATTCATTCCGCAAGAGCCTTTTACATTTCAAATTCCGTGGTGTGGTGCTTGTGGGTTTTACAATATGTGGCGACCTTGCTATATGTTTACCGTAAACTGGTCTCGAACATGCGAGATATCATAGATTCTTTACGACGAAGGTATCACCACGATAAAGAAATCGATTTTGTGATTCGACGATTAAAAGTGGCCGGACGACTCGTAAGATTTTTATTATTACTTCGTTTTCACCATTGCTACTGTGATGTTTACGATAATTTTCCAATATAGCTCTCATGGACTGCCGGATTTGTGGCTTCAATGTTTTTTATTCACTTCCTGGAAAATCTCTTTTTCGGTTTCTTTTACCGTGGGCTATTACTATCGCAACCAAGTCGCAGCTTCCTCTACTACTTTCTGTGGTATTTCACCGTGCCCATCATTTGCAACGTTTCACAAATTGTCATGTATTATTACTATTACAAGCAACAAAATCTGACCTCTGGTAATCCTCCAAATGGATCATATAACCTCCAACCAAAATCACATTCAGAAATTAATTTGAGGTCAGTACCAATGCAATCGATTAATGAGTACCGAGCTGTTCAATCGTACTTGTATTATTCCACGTCTCAAAATCCCGGTAAGCACTACGGTTCCTCGAGCATAACCTTAGTAAATTATTTGTCGGCATCAAAAAACATAGAACAATCGGCACCATTGAGTGGTACCACGTTCGCCTCATCACGGGAAAGTGCTTCACAGTTTATACTTGGCAGTCGAAGCAATCTGAGTATGCTTAACGCATCATCGACTTTTCAGATCGAAGAACAAAATTTTGTGTGCACGACGAATGATTGTAATCTTAGAAGAGACGAGGAGGTTGAATTCGTGGGGGAATCAAATATTAAGGAAGTCGAGAAGTGTGTCAGAAAATCGTGGTTAATAAAAAAACCAATAAGAGTTAGAGTAAAATCACGTGAATAAAATAAATGTATGTATAAAATATTCCCATCTCTTTATGTATAGATCAGAATTTAGAATAAAAGCCAAAATCTATTTTTTGTGATTGTGAATGAGAGATTCGTTTTTCCCTATCGCAATAAAAACCATCAAAAATTTGAACTTTCTTTCTTAAGAATAGAGAATACTGATGGAGCAGGTTAATGGTGTGTAATTTACGGACAAATAATAATCCCAAAACAATCATTCTTGCGTCTTATGGTTTATCCAAAATAACAATAGCTTCGTTGTTGCACTCACTGGACACAAGTTATTGTGCGGATTCTGTAGAATTCTGTCCATTCGAGGATTACTCCCAATTTTTGGCGTGTGGCACTTATCAACTGGTCGATCCAGGTGTCAAAACCATCGAGTTCAATGAAAATATTAATGATAAAGAAATGTTAAATCAGTTTGATGCGCCCCAAAAGAAATTAGGAAGATTGCTGTTGTATCAAGTCACAAATAATAATAGTACCAAAAAAATGTAGGCGTGCATCCATACATACATATACCTTTGCCAAGAGTTTGGTTTATTTGTTTTAGGCGACTAATTGATTTGTAGGCAAGAGGTTCAGAGAATCGAAACAGCAGCAATACTTGATATGAAGTGGTCAGTGTTCGTAACTGTTCGTGGAAGTACTGATCGATGGGATGTTTATTAAAAATTTCTAATTCTGATGCCGAAGGTCTCACCAAAAGGTCAATGGCGGTGATATTGTCTTGGCGCTGGCATGTGAATCAGGGAAAATTTGCTTATATGGATTAAACCAGGATAATGTAAAATTTTAAATTTGACTCGCTAGCTACAATCATTCCTTCTTTATCTGATCTTAATAACTTGAAAAAAAAAAAGAATCAATTTAATCTCTTGAATTCTCATGCCACTAACGAAGATAGGAAGTTATGTCTTTCGCTTGATTGGTCTAACCGTTTAGAAACTAGGTAAGTTGTGATTAGTTTGGAAACTCAGATCGTAAAACCTCACTAACGTTGATTTATTCGATAGCAACAACACATCTATTGTTATTTCCCAAAGTGATGGTAGCATCGTCGTGGTGTCGGTGGATAGTCAGATTGGAATTCTCGAGAGGAGTCGATGGTTGGCTCATGACTTTGAAGCTTGGGTGGCCGCCTTTAATTATTGGAATACGAATCTGATATATACAGGTTGGCAAAGCAGTTTTGACTAGCGGCGATATACTTGTGAACCGTTTTTTTTTCTTAATTTGGAAATTAGGAGGAGATGATTGTTTCTTGAAAGGATGGGATTTAAGAACCGATTCGGCTCCAACATTTAAGAATGGAAGGTTCGAGTTTGCAAACCTTTTCCAATGACTTTGGTTGCCTGTTGATAACATTCGACTTTCCTTCAAGATGTCATCAAGCCGGTGTCTGTAGCATACAATCTAACCCTCATTCCGAATATCATTTGGCAACGGGAAGGTAAATGATCATGGTGGCATAACTCAATTCTTGCATAATGATTTGCTCATGGAAATTCGACTCCTTGGATAGCTATGATGAACATATTTTACTTTGGGATACAAGACAGATGAAACAACCAATCTGTGATAATCACGTCGGCGGTGGCGTATGGCGATTAAAGTGGCACCCGGTGAGGAGGAACCTTTTGTTGGGAGCATGTATGCACAATGGGTTTCATCTAATCAAAGTGGAAGGAATGTCAGGAGAAGGTAAAAAAACTTGCAATTTCTTATGAATTCGAGTCAATGTCCTATTTGGTAAAATTGTTTTATCATTCCATAGATAATTTATCCATGAACAACATAGCAAATTTTAGAAACCCTGATCCTTTGGCTTATGGTGTCGATTGGTCTTATTCACTAACGTTAAATAAACCTTTAGCAGCCGGGTGTGACTTTTATGGCCATGTGATAAACATTTGGTAATTTCATTATGTATTTACCAGTTAAGGCATCTCTAATATTTTATTAACTTCACGTTTTTTTCATATACCTTAGGGAGTTGAACGCAAATTAGCTTGTGAATCACATCAAATCTGAATCGCGAGATCGTTTAGTATAAATAATTTTTTCCAATAAAATAGTTATGACTCACTAGAATTAACAGTTTGATTTTGATATCTATAACTCTTATAAAAATTATTTTTTTTAAAGTATTGATTATATACAGTATAAAAAGAAATTTTTTAATTGAATATTAAAATTTTATAATTTATTGTAAAATCATTTTCAAATTGATGTTATTTGCTAATATTACAAATATGAATTACAATATTATTATTAAATCTTTAAATTGTTACAAATTCAAAACAATAAAAATTTCAAATAAACTAAAACAATCATTTTATTTGTTTATTACTAATTCTTTGAACAAATTTTTTTATAGTTATATTTTGAAGAGATATCTTTTATTTTTTATTTTTTTATGTTTTATATATTTTAGGATTAAATTTATAAATTATTGATATAGCTAAATAAAATTTTAATATTATTGTAAGCAAATTTAAAAGTTTTGTTTATCTTAATTATATTAAAAAAAATTATAACTATTTATTATTATTGTTATTGTTATATTTTTTAATATTGCAAATTTTAATATTTAGTTAAAAATCTTTTTAAATAACTTTTATTGCTAAACAATATAGAATTTTTTTTTTTTTGGGGGGGTTTCCCCTCATAGATAAGCATCATTTCTTTATTTGATATTGTATATAACATGGTATACATCGTGAAAGAAACAACATCTCTTACGTACATA